AACAGCTCTATACTTTTCTCATGGTACATCACAACACTGCCAAATATAACTGAACAAGTCTGTAGCAATTGTGATTTAGAAAAGATTTGTATTATAAAATGTCTAGCTGGTAAAATGTTTTCCTCTTTTCTTTCTTTCTTTCCTTCCTTCCTTTCTTCTTTTCTCTCCATTTTTTTTTTTTTTTTGGCAGTACTTGGGTTTGTGCTCAGGGCCTAATGCTTGTTAGGCAGTTGCTCCACCACTTGAACCACTCCACGAGTCCCTCTTTTTCTCTCTTTCTCATTCTTTTTCTTTCTCTCTCTCGCTTTTCTTTCTTTCTTTCTTTTTTTTTTTTTTTTTTTGTTGTTCTTCAAATCCTCTTAATGGAAGCCAAGGGAGGTCATGAAGGAGGACTTAACTCTGGAGAACTGCTCAGAGGTTAGACGTGAGGAAGTGGATATGTGTCCCCTGACAGCGTGCAATGTGATATACAGAGGCACATCCAGGAGATCAGACTGCCAGAATGTGTAACCTGAACCTGACCTGCTGTGGACTTAACTTACTGTTTCCAGGAAATGCAGAGGATGGAGGAACAAATGGAAAGACACCTTGAGAAGTAATCGGGAAAACTGAGCAAGCAGGACACTAGGAGACATCTGGCCTCTTCACAAAGCCGCAGTCTCCTCACAAAAAAAGAAGCACAAAGACTAATCTAGATTTAAAAAGAACAAACAAACAACCAAATATAAAGCCTGCGCTTTGATTTGATTATCTTTTTAAAAGTTGGAAATAATTGGGTGAAAATTGAATATGGGTTAGAAATGAATGGTTTGAAGAGTCATTTCTGATCTGCTGAAGTGTAATAATAGCACTGTGACTATACGGAAAAATTCTCACTTTTGAAAGATGAATGCTGAGCTACTCAGACTTAAGATAGCATGATATTTGCAGGTTTCCAATATTGCAGAAAAGAATAATATTCAGAGAAAAATAAACCAAAACAAAATGTTATGAGGCTTTGAAGTTGGCTGGTGGGTATTCAAGGTGATGGTTACACTCGTCTTCAATTTCATTGTGTGTTTGAAATTTTTCAAATTAAAGTTTGGGGAAATTTTACTAAAACAACCCCACCAATATTTCAGAAGAAATGTAAATAAAAGTGAAAGGTGTTATAAATAAAAAACAGCAATGAAAAGTTGGCTGAGGTGCCTTAACAGACCAGACTGGTGGGAATGTTTGGAGTATGTAGGGCAGATGAGATTAGAGTTATGATTAGCTCTGACAGCAGTGGAATTTGTGTTCCCATAAAGGAAAGAATGGGCTGCCAAAGAAATTATGTTTTCTAGCAAACCCCCATAGTAATCCTAAGATTATAAGCAAGGAGTATTGAAAGGAAGTGGAATTAGTGTGTAATCTATTGAAAAGCAAGGAACAGCTGCCACACTTCTGTCTTCATAGTGGCTTTGTCTGCCCCATTAACGTGGGTAACTGCCATGAGGAAGCAGAGGGGGGCTGGGTTCAAGGAATTGGGAAGGGTAACACCAGAGCCAAAGGCAAGCTACTCACAATCTGAGAGAAAGGCCTGGCTGGACACAGAAGAGAAGAGAAGCCTACCCCATGTAATGACCACAGCCAGGCTTCCTGTAAGTAGGAGCAGGTTTCACTTTCAGGTCAATAAAACAATTTCAAAAATCACCAAGTATTTGATTAAAATGACCACAAAAGGCATCAGAAGTTAGAAGAATTAACCGCAGAGGGAAAATGTTATACAGACAAGGAAAATCTTTAAAGTATCTGCAATTAGCATTCCCTAAGATATTCCAGAGAGTATGAGATCCATAAAGAGGAATCAGAGTTCTCTGGGTTGAAGACATGGCTCAAACGGCAGAGCACCACCTACAAGTGCAAAACCCTCAGTTCTAACCCTAGTACCACCAAAAAGAAAGAAGAAAGAGGAGGAGGAGGAGAGCCAAAATTCTTAGAAATTGAATACATGATTGATCCACAAACAACCAGACAAAATGCCCACTTGAGGAGGTGGACTGAGTAGTAGAACAGACCATAAATGAAGACTAAATTTGTTAGCTGTCATTTCAAGCTAGCTGATAATGTAAAGAGTTAAAGAGTTAAAATGTACAAGAGAAATGTCAGTATGTTAAACATGGAGGGCAAAATCTCTCTATTAGAAATTTTCCAGGGAAATAAGAGTGAGAATTAAAGACAGGAAGTAAGACAAGAAATAAGAAAAGAACATTTGCATGATTTGAAGAAAGAAAGAGAGAGAGAGGTCATCTATATTTAAACACGTAGGTGACATTTCTCAAACCCAAAGATAAAAGGTGAAGAGCTTTAGAAAGGAAAAATCAGGAACACATAAGAATTGGAAATAAGACTCGACCCTCACCATATTTCTCAGAGATGCCCTTGGACTTTATAGAATAATGTCTTCAAAATTCTGAGGGAAAATATTTTGAATGATGAGCACATACTCAGTCAACCTATTGTTCAAGTATAAGGGCAAAAGAAATAGCAATTTCAGAAACGTAAGAATTCAGAACACTTTTTAAAAGAGTTGCTTGAATCTGAGCAGGGTGGCACACACATGTAATCCTAGCTACTCCCAGGCTGAGGCAAGGGACCGTGTGAGTCCAGAGGTTCTAAACCAGCCTGAGCAACATAGTGAGAGCCTGTCTCAAAAACAAAAAAATGCTTGAAGACACGTTCTCTGAAATAATGAAAAATCGAAAAAGCAGAAATCAAGAATCAGAGAAAGAGGATAAAAACAGAGGTGAACAAAAAAGGGGGATTATTTATAGTGTGACTGCAGGCAAATGTATTTCCAATAAGTGATTCTCAGAAAAAGAGATACATCATATGAAAATTAATAGTCTGCAGCTAGAATTCTGGATGGCTTTGACCAAACCTGGAAGGAGAAAAGAAAAGGAGAATGGTAAGGCGCTAGGGAAACTGTTTTGTTAGAATGGTGGCTATAGAAACTGATTGTTAGCATTGCTATCAACGAGTTTGAATATTTTTTAAATAAATTAATAGAAGTACATATATAACCTTCAAATCATTAAAAGTAAAGACAACTTCCAGGATGCAAAGGAGGAGAAAAAGCAAAAGAGCGAGAAAGCATCATGTAGAACACAGAACTGAGCTGCAGGAGTCAAGCCAAGCATATTAATGGTGGTGATGTATATGACTGGGTTAAAAGTTCATGTGCAAACTATTTACAAGAGCCGTGCCTAAAACAAAATACTACAGAAAGGGATTTGGGCTTATCTCTGGACAAGGAGAAAATCACTTCCAGTTAAAATCTAGGAAGCAGCAGCAAACCCAATGTGAACAGACACCTACCTCCTGAGCCCTAACAGAACAGCAGGGTGGGGGACGAGGCACGCCTGCCAGGTGACATAAGGGAACAGAATAGGAAACCCAGAGGGCTCTGTGGAAATGGATTCCATTAGATGTGGGGACATCAAAAGTCATTATCAAATGATTAGCAGTTGAATGCTGACGAGACGGCAAGCTATGTAAAAATAAGAGCAATAATAATTAAAGCAGCAAAATATGCTCCTGAGTTCTCAAGTAAATGTTCATTGAAGATATAGGACTGAGTAAAACTGGGAACTCAATTCTTTTAAGTTCTGTCAACAGATGCAAATAATTTTGAACAGGTCAACTACCAAAAACAGCTTTAGTAGAGAAGTTATTAAAAGTAATTTAGAGGGCAACCATGGTGTCACATGCCTGTAATCCCAGCACTTGGGAGGAGGAAGCTAGAGGATCATGAGTTCAAGGCTAGCCTAGACTACATAGTGAGATTCTGTCTCAGAAAATAAAACAAAATTTAGATTTTAAAAAAAGTTTTGATTTAAATTATTTTTCAGTCAAAGAGACTTGTAAAGGCCGGGAATGAAGTTCAGTGGTGTAGTGCTTGCCTGGCAGGCAGACGGACCTGGGTTTGATCTCCAACACTGAAAAAAAAAAAAACCCTCTCATGTGTTTGCATACCATTTTCTTTTCTTTTTTGAAGTACTGGGGCTTGAACGCAGGGTCTACACCTTAAGTCACCCCACCTGCCCTTTTTTGTGATGGGTTTTTTTTTTTTCGAGATAGGGTCTTGAGAACTGTTTGCTTGGGCTGGCTTCGAACCACGATCCTCCTTGATCTCTGCCTCCTGAGTAGCTAGGATTTTAGGCATGAGCCACTGGTGTCTGGCAATGGAAGTTTTTGTTTTTGGCAGCACTGGGCTTTGAACTCAGGGCCTCGCACTTGCTATGCAGGTGCTCTTACACTTGAGCCCCTCATCCAGCACAGCATGCCATTTTCGTTGTAGGAGTAAACATTATGAATTCAATACATTTGGCTGAATTTTGACTATTTCTTTGGACTGCTTTTGAAGAATAAAGTGAAGTATATAAAAATCATTATTAGAGAATATTCAGTACTTCTAAGAGAAGATCAATGAGTATGAATAAATGTACTTTCAGCAGCAGGTGACTTTGGTTTTGTTTTGTTGCTGTGACCTTAAAGCAAGTCACAAGTCACAGCAAATTCTATTTGATCATCAGGAAAGCTTTTAATTTGATAAATAAGCCATGCATTACACCTGCCTTAGAGTTCTACCCTATTGAAGCAAGGTTGTTTTTAATGGATGCCATATTAAGCAACATTGGTTGACCACAGGCATCTTGGAATCTTTGTAATGACAAGTGTGCTGTGCCAAGGGCTGCTGTATCTAGGTCATTCCTGAAACTGTAGTTAAGGTTTGTCCACATACTGTAGAGAAGTGCCACATGACCTCCGCTGGCAACTCACACCAAGCCACCAAGGGCTGAATACTGGCAGGAGCCCCGGCCCTCCCACACAGACAGCAGGACATGGAGGCCTTCTTGAATTCTTTTCACCCAGCTCAATGGCAAATACCAATCAGTTTGGGAAACCCCACATCTACCCAGGTTTTGCCCTTAAGAGATGTTCTGTTTCCATGCAGGTGACACCACTCATCTTTGAATAGCGTGTGCATCTGGACTCTTGTGTTCATGCTGGCAGATGGCAGTTCCAAGGTGGGATTTCTTTATGGTATGTCTTTTAAATGGCTCAAGCCTTCTTCCTAATAGTAACTATGTAGCCACATCTTCAAAGCAGGGGTAAAAATCAACACTGAGCCTGTAATGGATGCTATCAGAAAGAGCCATAGAAAGATGCGGTCAAGAACTTGAGCTACGAATTTCCAGTCGTGCACCACCTGAGAAAGAGAGAAAGAGCTGGGTAACCGTTATGAACTCATCATGGATTTAAAAAGAGTAATCTTTGGATTTGCAGCATGTGTAAATTTCTGTCCAGTGCCATTGCTCATTGTGCTCCAAGAAAATAGCTCATAAGTTGAGTGTCCAGGAACACTTGTCTTGTCAACACTGAAGAAGTAAAATAGAAACAGTGGAATTATTTGTGTGTTTGATTTTTATATACATTAAAAGAGCCTATCTTGCTGCAGGACTTCCTGATGTATATATGACATTAACGACATTAATAACTTAAGAATGTTGTGGGTATGGCTGTTGCAGGTCCAGGAGGATGGACACTGGCGGGGAGGAGCAGTGGCCAGGGGGAGACAGACATTAGGGGAGAGAGGCTCCAAGAGCTTTTAGTTAGGAAGAGAAGAGGGGGGGAACAGACACCGTGTATGAGAGTGAGGTTAGAGCAGGAGCAAGCCCCAGGGCAGGGAGACTGACAGGGAAGAGTGGCTTCTGTCTTTTAAGGGAAAATGAATGTCCTATTTCTACGGCAGATGGTCTCCAACTTAATGGTTCCACAATGATTTTTCAACTTGTGATGGTGCAGAAGTGAAATCCATTCAGTACAAACCATTATTCCTGTTTTATATTTGGATCTTTTCCAGAGGCTAAGGTTAGGCAGTGCCACATTGGAGTAACGCTGGCAGCAGTGGCCTGAAGCTCCCGACAGCCTGGACGTGTTATGCTTCCCGAGGGTTAGAAATAAAACTCCGGGGGTGCGAAAAACACGCATTAAAGTGATTTTTAAGTCATCTAAGTGGTGTGATTATTAACAATTTTAATCTTCTTGTTTACATCTTTCTGAATTCCCCAAATTCCCTGTGCTAATTGTGTTACTTTTTACAATTTTTAAAAAATGGTTGAATCTTTGCATTAGTATTTTGAAAAGATGTAAAGAAACAAAAACAAGCCCCCTGATATTTGATAGCTGAAATTTCTGTTCTATGACAGCACTTGTTTTTCTAGTCCTTAACAAACAACTTTAAGTGGATAAAAAAAAAAATCTAACAAATGGTTAGGAGGACATAGTAGGCTGGGTCTGTGCCGGATTTTTTTCCAAGAAAGTTCTTTCATAAGTTTGTTTATGGGTTCGGGTTCTTGGCACTAAATTCCACAACTTTAGAGTAGAATAATTGAGCCCTATCCTTCATGTAAAGATGTCACTTGTTTTAAGCATGTGAACTGAGCAAAGCTTCGTTGTTTATTCCTCACCATACTCTCCAAAGGAGGCTTCAGAAAAAGGAAGATCAGCTTCCATTGACTTGTCTGAGCCTAGGGCCATTTTGGGTCAAAAATCCACTTTTTTGTGTGTGATGGGGTCTTGATATGTGGCCCAGGTTGGTCTTAAACTCCTGAGCTAAGTGAGCTCCTGCCTCAGCTTCTCAAGCTACAGCTGTGTGCTTTAACATCAGTAAGCTAAATTAGTAGCTCTTCTTCTTTCAACAATGTATCTGTTATAACACTAAATTATATATCTAAAGTTTGATTCATTCTGGGTTTTTATTTCTAAATAAAATGGAATGGAATGGAAACATCAATCATTCCATGAGAATAAGTTAAATTACCAGAGACCAGGATAACTAATTTAAATATGTAACTGAATTATTTAAAATAGAATTCAGTAATTGTGACAGTAATGAATCTATAGTTGCTTCACTTTGGTCGTTATATTTTTATGAAATCCTAAAAAATACAGGAATTATACTAAAACCTTTCTTGAATGTCCTGGCTTCTTGGGAAACAGAGATAGGAGGATGGAGATCCAAGGCCAGCCAGGACAAAAGGTCTGAGACCCTATCTGAAAAATAACTAAAACAAAAAGTGCTGAAGGTGTGGCTCAAGTGTTTGTGCATCTACCTAGCAAACGCAAGGTCCTGAGTTCAAACTCCACCTCCCCCCCAAAAAAGATGATAGATCTTAAAGAATGACCACATTTTGTTGTAAAACATAGTCTTTGCATACAGCAATGGCAGCATGGCGTGAACCCCAGGTCACTCACCTGGCTGATGAAATGCTCTTTCTTCACATGATTTGAAATGTATCTGATGGACTCCGAAGCCTTTTCCAGGAATGTGACCAGAACTTTTTCTCCACTGCTAATCTGTTTCTGTTTCTTTTTTTCCAGGATTTTACCTTTTACTGCTGGCTTATTCTCTTCTTTATCTGGGAAGGAGTAGCGGTCCCCATGATCCTTCATGCAAAGTAATTTGGGAAGTTTTTGCAGAAACAGCCTCTTCACCCATGGGGCCATGGGATGGTAAGTTGAAGAAGATCTGTGGTGAACGTTAATTACAAAAACGGTAACAATAATTGATAGGGTCACAAAAATCATAATGAATAATAGGTACTCTCCAATGAGAGGGATGACTTTGGAAGAAGATGGGATTATTTCTTCAATTACTAAAAGAAAAACTGTCAGAGATACCAAAACAGATGTTGATAATGAAAGTTTTTCCCCTTCATCTGAAGGTAAATAGAACACAAGAACTGTGAGAAAAGATAGCCCCAGGCAGGGGATTATCAGAAAAAGGGTATAAAACAAAGGCAGGCGCCTCAGGACGAAAGAATAGGTAACAAATGGATAGGAATATAAACCTTCTCTTCTGTTTCCCTTCATCCCTTTTGCATGTAGTATCTCCCATTCTCCATTATCAAAGAAGTCCTTTCTGTCAACATTTTCATTTATCAAAATAAGGTCAACCATGGTACCATCATAAGTCCAGGATCCAAACTTCATGGAGCAGTTCTGCCGGTCAAATGGGAAAAATGTGACATCCATGGTGCAAGAACTTCTATAACTGGCAGGAGGGGTCCAAGTGACGAGTCCGTTGGATTTCACTATGACCTTGGTCATGAGGGAGCCTTCGAAACGCCCATCAGCACTGCCATAAAAGTAGTTTCACATTAGTGGGTAATTGAGCACTAATTAGTTTTTGGGTTCCCCCCTTATACTATTTCTATTTTATTACTTCCTTATTACAATGTCAAATAATATTTTAGAAAAAAAAAGTCATTTTGTTACTTAAAGTTGTATATTTCTCTTAAAGATTTTGTCAAAATCAGACCTTTCTATACCCAGTGTTAATCTCATACTGTTTTCTTCTGTGATACTTACTTTTCAAAGAGAACTATGTCAGGAAGCCACAGGGATTCTGATGGAACTTTAATTGAATGGATGCCACCAAATTCATCAGGATTCCAGCGTAATTTGTGGTCTGTCCATTCCTGCATGAAGCGAGTACATTGTAACCTTATTCTGAAAAATTAATGTATTGGACTTTGGAATCTTCAAATTTCTGCTAATTTAGCAACTCATCATTTTATTAAAAGGGAATTTCCCCCAGGTTAGGCCTCGTAACCCTATCTGGGATTCAGTGTAGCAGTCAAGATAGAACTTAAACCAGCCTGGTGCCCAGATCTGGCCTGTCAGGTATTCTCCAACTTTTCACATCCAGCACACAGTGAAGAGGTTCACAGGATCATGGCTCACCCTGATCTGTCTTTTCAGCCTATTTTATCTTAAGAAACAAACAAAAGGAAAGCAATAGTTAGCATGGTGGAAGGCTGAGTCAAGAGGATAATATGAGTTCAAAGATAGCCTGGACTACATAGCCAGACTTTGTCTCAAAAATAAATAAATAAATAAATAAATAAATAATAGACCCAATCAGTTAGTTTAGTTTATTCAAGGAGGAGGGTTGGTAATGTATTAATAATGGGTACACTCACATGATTTTGAACTTCATGTGTCTTAGACAAAGACCCACCTGGTGTGTTAATAGGAAACATTTCAAGTATCCCATGACTATTCTTGATGATATTATGAAAATGGATGAAAGAATGTTTTTAACAGTTGAATCTAAATTTATTTCATAAGCTCCCAATTAAAGTTTTAAATCTTGTCCCTCTCTTCTTCTTCATAAGGAAGAAATCACTTAGCATATTTTACAGGGGCTGAGGGTTGCAGATTGATGAATCTGACCATTAAGTGATTAGTTATGAGGTCAACAGGACAATTTATGGATGACCAGTTACAGCAGAAGTAGACTTTATTTAAAAGATCTTGAATTCAGAATGTCATGAAATCTGACCTGCGAGGATAGCTGAGTAATCATGGATAATAATGTCAAGCAGCATGTTCCAAGTGTGAGACTTCACACTAAAAAATCACTAAAAGTCACTAAAAAATCAGAGGAGTCAGCAGATGGGTGACTTCAGTGCGTGGTAAAATACTGAAATACGATGTCTTAAAAATGATGTAACTGCAGACTTGAAAACCAAATTTAAAAGTCATGGGTCTTTAAAAAACTACAATCTAATGTATAAAATTGCATGACTATTTATGATAAATTGTGCATATGAAAACTGACAATATAAGAGCCAAATTAATAAGGTATTTACCATGTTCACATGGTACTCACTGGCTTCTCTTTTGCCTGTCCTCTGTTGCCTATGTTGAAGAGCAAATTCAATTTCCTCTCTATGAATAATTTGTCTTCTGCAAGGAGACTTGTTCTTAGCAGGATTGAGTCTTGGAGTGTTGGAGAATGCAAAGCAGCATTTTTTGTTGGTTTCACTTTTGTTTCACCCTTTTCAGAAATTTACATATAAAATTCACTCTTTGTGTCCACTTCTACATGCAAACAGTTGTATAATCACTACTACCATTAAGGTGCTAAATTAGCTTTTACCCTCAAAATTTCCCTTAGGCTGTGATTAAAACCACTCCCACACCCCCCAGCCCCTGGCAATCACTGATTTGTTTTCTGTTTCCCACAGTTTTACCTTTTCCAAAATGTCTTACAAATGAAATCATACAACATGCAGCACGCTGACCCTGACTTCTTTAACTTGGCTGTGCACTGGTTCTTCTATGTGTCATTGTCAGGTCTGTGGTTTCATTAGTGAATGTGTCCATTGTTTGAACACATCAAAGTTATTAACATGCCAGTCAGGACATTTGGATTCTTTCAAGGTCTTGATGATTGTAAATAAAGTCTTTCCAAACATTTCATGCAGTTTGGGAGTGAAATAAGTTCTTATCTTTCAGGATGACTGGCTCACAGAGTAAGTATCTGTTCAGCTTTGCACAAAACTGTCAGTTTTCCCAAATGACTGAATCATTCCATTCCCGCCAGCATGGTGTGGTGTTCCAGCTCCCTTTCCTCCTTTCCAGCACTTAGTATTGTCATGTCTTAATTTTTAACTATATCGGAATAGATATGATGTGGTATCTCACTGTAGTTTTTAATAAGCATCTTCTTATTTGGTGAAGTGTCTGTTCAATCTTTTGCATATTTTCAGTTGGTCTGTTTGTATTATTATTATCATTACCCGCCCACATGGTTGTCAGGGAGACTGATACCACAGAACTTCCAGCATCACTGAAAGGAGGCTGGCCATTCCCCTTCCCCTGAACTAGGAAGCTTGTAGGTTGGCGCTAACATCACCACCTGCTACCACTGCAGCACAGCTTGGATGAGAATGGATTCAACTCAGAGGAGGTGGAGCCAGAGACACCCAGAGAATATGAGGCCCTGGGAATATGGTTTAAGCCCCTGTATGAGGCTTCATATAAAGCAAGCCCTGTACTGGACTTTTCAAATTGTGAAAGCCAGTAAGTTCTCTTTTTCGTGATGGTAGTTTGGGAGACATTTTCCTGTCACTCTGCTGGTCCCTGTCATTCAGCTGGTCTTGAGTGGGCATGTAGCAAGTGACTCCCTGCAAGCACAGAACCATGACCCCAGAGACACTAGCCTGGACACTAGCTCCAGGCTGTCTGGAGCTGTGATCTCACACTTTGTAAGAAAAATGATCTTTTCTATCAAAGTATTTGTTACCCTCTTAGATTACTTAAAAAATCCTCAGGTTGCCATCTCAGGTGACTTGCATGTTTAAAGGGTCCTTGCTTCTTCTTCTGGATTCCTGTACAACTCCATTGCCCGTCAAACTGCATGCCCTTACCCATCCCCCAAGACTTTTAGCCAATGGAGGGAGATTGTGAACCTGTGACCTGGACAAATCCCAGATGAGGGGCAGGTACAACTGCGTCAGGGATATAAGGAGGAGCCACCGTCAGTCATTTTGTGCTTGCGTGTTTGGTTAGCTGGAGTGAGCTCATGCTTGCCCCTCTTGATCAAGAGAAAATTGCCTTGTCAAGATTTTCTGACTCTTGTGTGTCTGTTTTCGGCACAGCTAATCAACCCAACCTACAGAACTCTGGTTGGAACATGAAGATTGCTGGAAACTAAATTGCCTGCTTCTTAGATCCAGCAGGCCTTTGCCTGTGTCCAGTTCTACAGAATGATGAAAATCCTAAGGCTGCTGCCTAGTTGCAAATTACAGCGAACTAATACCAATTCTATACATTGTTCCAAAGGAACTAAGGCAAGGCTTAGGGAAAGAGATTTCTAAGTCAGAAAGATCCATCTTTCTCACCTGCCCTCCAGCAGCAGGATTAACTGCTGTGGCCAGAGAGAACACAGGTAACAGCTGGTGGGACTGACATTTTTGAGGAATTTATCCAACAAATATGCCAAGCTCAGCTAGCATTAAGCACCATGCTAGCTCCTGATGCCATGTACTCTAGCCTGGGACTGACTCAAACAAATAGTATCCCCACCTGGTGACAATTGCTAGGAAGATGATCTGGGAGTCTGATACAGAACAGTGGAGTAGGTGAGGAAGGTAAGTTTGAGGAGATGACATTTAAGCTGAGACTTAAGATTTGAGGAGTCAGAGTGGTGGCTGATGGTGTGGTATGGGTGTGGACTGTTGGTGGTACTGCATGTGGGAAAGGCCTGGGGCAGAAATAAGGAATGAATGAATAGATGAGGGATGCATTTGGATCACTGAAGAGGGTTTTAAGCGATGGACAGTGGAATGAGGCTACATTCCTGACAAGGTGTGACTTTTTGGTCAGTGCTGTTCACTTTGGCAGTCCCAAAAGAGAAAGCACAGTGTTTGAGAGTCAAGAGCCCTGAGCTGCCCTCATCACTGGTCTTCATCCTTTACATTCCCTTATAAGGGCTGCTGAGAAAGACATGCCTCACAACCTGGGTGTCCTTCCATAGCCAGCCCTGAGGGGTCAGTTGGTTCTTCCTGAGATGCCCATGCAGAAGGACCACCCATTTTCTACCAAGACATGCATTCCCCAGATGCTGGGCCCCATAACCCAGATGACTATAGTGGGGAAGGCACACATTACAGGCTGGGCAGGTGGTGTGCACACAGCAGCGCTCAGCTAGGAGGTAAAGCCCTGATCCTCTATCTTGTGGTCCCTTCCCTGTTCTTTCTGAAACCTTGGCTGCATCTGGAGATCAGCCTCCTCACTCTTCCTTCCCAGAGAGAGATTAGAAGTAATACCCCATGTTTGTGTATCATGTTTTAGCCAAGACTCTAAAAGCCCTCTGCAAACATCAGCTCCACATCATAGCTATCTCTAGTCTGAGAGCTATGTTTTCATAAGAAACAGAAAAGCCAGGATATATCGTGCCAAATATCAAAGTTAATCTATGACTAAGACAAAAATGGAAAAATTCTCCAAGCCCAGGTTTCTGAATTTGAAAAAGTGCAATATCAAATCCAAATCAAAATAATCACATATATACCCTTAAAATTGTCTTTCCTTACACATATTACCTGAACTAGTCTCATAAATGCCTACCTATTACTAAATCCAGAACCAAATTTTACTTAAGCTGCAATGATAAAACTTTTTTTAAAACCATAAATTCCTCAAATTCTTCCATTAATTCTAAGAACAAAAGACAACAAGGAGTGAAGTCAGGTGCCACATGATACTTTGGTCAATGACAGACTATGTGTATGACAGTGCCCCGTGATCATAGTGAAACTGAAAGGTTCCTGTCCCCTAGTGACATCAGAGCCATGGTAACGCTGAGGCTCAGTTGTATGCAAGCGTGGCACGAATAGCTATGTGCACTGGAGAACAGTTGGTAATGATAATAAATGACTATGCTTCTGGCCTATTTATTACACCTCACTTTTATCATTATTTTAGTCTACTCCACATGTATGTATATGTACATAAACACATATGTATATGTAAAGATAGAGACAGATGAAGCGAACTGTAGAACAGCCCCAGGCAGGTCCTTCAAGAGGCAATCAGAGGAGATGATGGCTGTGTGCTAGTTAGTGCCCCTGAGGACCTGAAGGAGGGTCAGGATTTGGAGGTGATGACCTTGACCCTTCTTAGGCCTCAACTAATTCAATTAATGTGTGCATTGCATCAAATAATTTTTTTTTTTTTGGTGGGACTGGGGTTTGAACTCAGGGCCTCATGCTTGCTAGGCAGGCATTCTACAACTTGAGCCACTCCACCAGTCCTGTTTTTGTGTTACTTTCGAGATAGTGTCTCTGTTTGCCCAGGGCTGGCTTCAAACTGCCATTCTCCTGATCTCTGCCTCCTGAGTAGCTAGGATTACAGGTGTGAGACACCAGCACTCAGCTTGCATTAGCGTTAAGTAAAAAAAAGAACAAAACACTTTTTTTTAAGTGGAGAAAAACTTACAGAATAAAGATGTAAGGGAAGAATATTTTTGTACACTATACAATGTATAACTGTTATTAAAAAGAGTCAAAAAGTTAAAAAAAATAAAAGTTCACAAGTAAAAAGTTACAGGAAGCTAAAATTAATTTATTAATGAAGAAAAATGTTTTTCATGAGTGAGGTATAGCTGCATAGGGTGTTTCTATAGTCTACAAACGTGCTCAGTTACACCCTCGACCTCCACGCTCACTTCCACTCACTGACTGACCCAGAACACTTCTGTTTCTGCCAGCTCCATTCCTGGAGCTGTCCAGTACACCATTTCATCTTTTATACTGCATTTTTGCTGTGCCTGTTCTGCGTTAGATATGCTTAGATGCAGAAATTGGCTTTCTGGCAGTTCTCAAAACAATGCATTTCTCAGAAGGACACTTTCATTAAGCATCACACAATGGCATTCCTGGTTAATGCCTTCATTTTTGGCCTCTGGGACATCCCAAGATTTTCAGGATTTTTTGTTTTGTTTTGTTTTTCATGGAGCTGGGGTTTGAACTTAGGTCCTTATGCTTGCTAGGCAGCCTCCCTACCACTTGAGCTAATACCCCCAGGCCTTCAGATATGTGCCATATTCCCTTTTTTGGTTTGTAGAACTTCTGTTGGACCTTGACACCCAACTTAAATATGTCTTCTTCTTGGGAGCTTTCCCTAACTTCTCCCTCATTCTCACTGTCTTTTTGTTTTGGCAGTACTGGAGTTTGAACTCAGAGTCTCACACTCCCTAGGCAGGCGCTCTATCACTTGAGCCTCTCCGCCAGCCTTCACTGTCATTTTTGTTTCATAACAGGACCGTGTATATACTTTCTTTATAGTGTATATCATATTACACTAATTCTTTTTTCATGACTGGTGTTTTGACAGCAGGGCTGTGGCGTTCTCTCCTCTATGCTCCCAGGAGCTAGCACTTACTGGGCTGTCAGAGAGTACTTCGAATAAATGGAAGAGGAAGGGAATCCCGCCTTCCTTCTCTCCGAAGTACTCTTCTATTCCTGCCCATGAGACATCCCAGACCTTGAGGGACCAAGGCCTTGAAGACCGAATTAGGAAATTGAGGCTGACACCTTGGTCAGCTTCTTCCAAAGGTGAGGGGATGGTTTTTTTTTTACACAAGCCAGACTTCTGTCAACAGTGTGCAACCTGGGACTAGCAGCTGCGAGAATTAAATGAGATCATTCCAGGTCACACTGGGGAACTTAGCAAGTGCTCAGTAAATTTTAAGTATTATTATTAACTTATTGGCTTCTCTGGAACTGAGATCTGTTAAAAACACCAATGAGTGCTTTATTTGAACATTCAGTTTTATCTTTTTTTAAACATCTCTTTCCTTTGCTTTTTTTTTTTTTTTTCATGCCAGGGGTTGAGAGCAGGACTTGATACATGCTGGGCACGCACTCCACCACTGAAATACACCTACATATGCCGAGACCTCTATCGCTTTTCTTTTATCCCTCATGTTTCTTTAGCCTGAGCTTTAAAAATGTGGTTTTAAAGTATAAAAATAACATCAAGGTCAAGCTCAAATGCCTCCTGCTCTGTGCATCCTTCCCTGCTTGCCTCCCACACCACAGAATTCTCTTTCCTTTTCTGCCACCACACCCTGTGCACCAGGGCACAGCACCTGTTGGCTAGTACGATAGACTGAAAGTCTACTATTCTCACTCTTTCTGCTAGATGAGAGCTTCATCGGCTGGCTGACTTTTTCAAGGGTCAACTTGTTCCACTCCTATGGATTTCTCTTGCTCTGTTTTGGGTATTGGAGATTTTAGGATTTAATTAAATCTGGACCTGATGTCACTCCACAGGCTACTATGAGCCTAGTGCCATCACTGCTGGAAGCCACAGTCTTCCCCCTTATGTCTAATCCCATCTCTTTGGGATTATTTTCAGACTTGCAAAATGAGGGAGAAGCACCCACTATCTCAGCATCAAGACCCAGGGTTCCCCAGCCACTGTTTCATGTGAGAGATTATTAAGAGATCAGTCTCAAGGAGCAGCTGGGGAAGGAGGACTGTGAAAAGGAAGGGTTTGTACAGTTTGTTTTGTCTTTGCTTTTGTAAAGTTCCTGAGCCTATTTATATATAATAAATGCTTTGTCCTCTCCTTGAAGACAGAATTATATTTTTTTTTCTGCAGCCTCTAATTTCCAAACACAAGACAAGTCACTGTAGAGTGAGATAGGTGGATAGGAGGATGTGTTTATTTAAATTGGACTTTTATATATACTTTGTCAACTTAGAATTTTCTCTCAGAGATTTTTATTTGCGAGTAAAATAGCATGTAGATACGCCTCACAACTTGCGACTATACCTACCGATTAAAGAATCAGAGGAAGAGAAATCAGTAAAAAGTATGATAATTTTCTAATCTGATTGAAGTTCCTGGGTGGGAGGAATTTGATGAGATTGAATGAAGCTTAGGGAATTATTCTGTTTGTTTTTATCCATTAGCAGATAGAACAGAACAATGTCTAAAAACCTGAATACATGACTAACTTACTTCAATACAAATAAATAAAAAATACTATGCATGTGTGCTTTAGCTGCGTGAAATTAATTAAAGACATTCCACCAGCACTATTTGAACTCTTTAGGCAAATTAAGCAACATCTGGACATTCATTAAAAAGTAGTTACAAACGAAACAAAAACAGAAAATAAGCAAACTGAACCAAGCTTCTTGCCTACTTGCATCAGTCCTTCCTCCTTTCAGGTAACACCTGTGAAGTTGAGGCTCCAAAGGTAATTGTTTCCTGAGGGCACCAGGACTGTATCCTCTGAGCAGAGGTCTGCCTCAGGAAGCAGATGACAGCCAAACAGTGGTCTAAGGAGAAAGCTGAGCACCGCTCCAGATGCAGCTTGAGTTTTGTTCGTCATTTTGTTTTGTTTGGGAGCATGTGGGTAGGTCCTGTCAGTCCCTCACTTGGGGATGGTTCTTTGCAGGGAGCAATGGAAGGTATGAGAAGCAGGTTCATCCCATGGACGAGACTAAACCAAGCTAACATTGCTGGTTTCCTTACCCACTCGCCCACTCTAATTTGGGTGCCTTGAGTTGTGCCTTGGAGTCCTTTTTTCTTTTTCTTCAAACCAGGGACCTACACCCAGCTTCACTGTCAGGAGCAACTCAGGGGCTTCTCTCCAACACTCAAAAAACAAAATAAAAATAAACCCTTCTCTGCCTACCCCAAGGAGTCCAATATGCCTTCTACAGTATTTTTTAGATGGCAGCTTTTCCAAGTAGAAAACAATTGCAGTGCCTGCATCGACAGATCCTGTCCTTGCACTGAAATTTACCTGTTTGAGCCACACGTTTGTTGTCATCAGTTGATTCTTTTCATCCTACAAAAATGACAATGGAAATGATACTGTAAATTAAAATAAAAGGAAATAGTGAGGGAATGGTTTGGATTTTTCTTGAGTCTTACCTTGGAGGTGTTCAAAAATTCAAAAGATTCTAAACTTAAGAATAATTAAAAGGCAAGTGATCCTAAGGCATTGTGCATACTTTGCTTACAATGAAAAATAATTACTAAAACAAGTAGCAGTTCATTGTGGCAATATTTACATAAAATTGTATAATCCAAAAGTTACTTTGATGGTTCAAAGTAGAAGGAAATATTGCCTGGACTGAAGACAAGCTTTGCCTAATTTTCTAGACAGAATCCTGGGATATTGAGCAGCCAATTGGGGGGTGTGTGGTGGGGCTGGGGCCTTGGGCCACATGGGAGGACCAGAGCAGGACAATTTTGCTGCGTTGGGGATTTAAGTCCACTGATTTCCTTGAAAACATAAGCATGGCAGAAGTCTGAGCTCAAGAGGAAAGTGAGCAGAGAATGTTAAGGTATAGGCCAGTTCAGGAGGGTGAGGGGTCACTGGGGACAGCAGCTGTGGCCCTTGGGCTGGTGCTGTCATCAGGGCCATTGCCCTGAAGAGGAGGAGCTGGGATCACATTGGTCAGCCTTGGCTGAGTTCTTTCTGCCTTGCTGCCCACCCACCCGGGATAGGTCCATCCCAGCAACCACTGCAACCTCCGCCCCAAAGTCCACAGCAACTTAATAGTGTCGTAAGGAACGTTTATTCCTTGACAGCCTCTCATTTTTTCATCTGGTCCTTTCGTTGGATTCTTGGGGCAGATTTTCTCTCACCATAACTTATTTTTAAAACTGGAAAGTCAGACACAGGGAAAGAAAAACAAATCTTGGAGTCACAAATAAGTTAGGAACGCATGTTGTTTTTAGGTTAGTGCCAAGAATTACTCACCACATCCACAAGCTGAGATAGTTTCAATCCAAAATATACTTTTATGGTGTCATTAGAATTTAATACGGGACGAACCCATTTCTGATAACCCTGGAATAAGTGTCGGAGGAGGGCATCTTCACTTTCGGCTATTGAGCTGAATCCTGCGGTGGCTGTAAGAGTCACAAGGGAACTTGAATTAACAGGAGTGGCAGAGGGACTGGTTCTGCATTCACACACACCGCCTCACCTGTTTCCCAGAATCTGACTCAGCAGAGGCAGCTCTGAGTATTTGAGGGTGCTCTGAACCACTTTCCACGCCCACCCCACCCCGCCCCTGCAAACACCTTCCCGGAGCTCTGGCCTCTCACCATTTTCCCACCACAGGGTGGACACCTTTGTACCCAGAGGATCATCCACAGCCATCCCTCTTCTCCTCCATCTCAGGTCTCATCTGAAATACTGCCTCCTTACAGAAATGAGCCCTGCCCACCCACCACTCTCCATCACAGCCCCTTGTTTTACTTCTTCATATCCTTGTCACATTTTCTTGTATATGCATGTTGTCACTATATCATGTGGTATGCACATGTGTATGTGTACGTGCGTGTCCCCTCGTGTATACTGTATACGTATGCATATGCATGTCATTATATTGCATTGCACATGCACGTGCATGCTGCACGTGTATGTTGTAGACGTGTGCTGCCCTTGTGTGTATCGTATAGCTATGCATATGTATGTGTCACTGTATGTGTATTACGTACAAATGTATATGTATGTCGTCATTGTGTGTGTGTTGTAGAGTATGCTGTTCTTGAAGGCATGCTGTGTGCGTAGGTACCTGTTGTCATTGTCTGTCTTTCCCTTGAGCTTCCACCATGACAGACACAGGATCCGGCATATGTGATCATGTTTACACAGCATCACAGAGTGCTTGGCCCAGAGCAGCGCTCATTTCTGGCACATGGAGTGAATGCACCATGGAGGCTCTACCAGGGCCACTTTCTGTGCAATTGCACGTTTTTACTGGACGCTTACCATGTGCCACCCCTGTTCTCTTGCCTTCCCTAAGGATATCTTCCATTAAGAAGTCCTCCTTGGTCAGCAACCAGGAAGGACTCTTAGCTCCCAAATATGTGAGCCCTATGAAACATCCTAATTTCAATTTCAACCTCCAGCTGAGGAAATAGCTTAGGAATGCAGTCTTGAGATGGGTTTTATTTCTTCTCAATAAAACACAGCAAACTTAAAGCAAGGAAGCCCCTAATTGTTTAATGCAGTCTCTCTTTGAATGTTCAACACCATATAAATATTCTAGAATGACTCATTTTGTACCACATATTTTACCCAAGATAACCCTTTTCTCCCACTGAGAGACACACATAAGGACAGTGGTGATATATAATACCCTCAAGTTTATCAAAGCCCAATCCAAAAGTTGTCAATTGGATGGAAGGCTGAAGAGCACACGTTCATTCCTCTAGGCGCCCAAGGTCTCCATCACACTAGGAGTGACTGGGGGGCATGGGTAACCGCTTGTAGAGCACTGAGCCCTACCCTTTCTCTTCTACTGAAGAAAGAGTATTAAAATGCAAGGAGAGGAAGAGGTGTGACCTTGCATGTGCACTTGTTTATTTAAAAAGTTAGCTCTTCTTCAGAGCTGCCTTCAGGGGCAGATCAGCTGGGAAGCTGCCAGAGCACCAGTGGACAAGGGGCCCTGAAACCATCCTGGAAATGTGCGGAGGGAAGGGTGGAAATTCCCCCAGCCTTCTGAGGGAAGAGGCACTCACGCAGCCAGGCAGACATTCTTGAAGTCATCCTTGGCTCCTCTTTCCTACCCCAAATTCTATCCTTTCTCCTCCCCCGTACCCACCCCTACCAGTACTGGAGGTTGAATTCAGGGCTTTGCACTTGCCAGGCAGACACTACCACTTGTGTAGACCCCTAGCCCTTTTTGCTTTAGTTATTTGTCTGAGTCTCGTGTTTTTGCCTGGGCTAGCCTGGACTGTGTGACCCTCCTATCTATGCCTCCTGAGTAACTGGAATGACAGGCACACACCACCACACCAAGCTTAGTGATTGAGATGGGGTCTCACTAACTTTGCCTAGGCTGGCCTTGCACTGAGATCCTCTCCCTTTCCACCTCCAGAGTACATTCAGTCTTAATGTCCTTCACTGTCTCCACCTGCACCACCCTAGCCACACACTCCATACCTTCTCTCCTGGATTCCCATGATGCATCTTGTTTCTGCTGTCTCTCTTTACAGTCCTTTTTTTTTTTTCCCCTCCACAGCAGCTAGAGTAAGCTTTTAAAAACCGAAAATGATTATTCTATTCTCTGAAGGTGGTGTTTCACCAAACTTAGAAAAAACATGCCAAGTCCTTACCTTGCTCTCCTGGCTCTCCGTGGCCATCCTAGCTGCCCCTACCCACTCCCACTCTGCCCTAATCCTGCTCCCCAATCCCCTGAGCTGGTCTGCCCTTTTTAGAACCTGCCAGGATGCCTCAGCTCTGGGAAACCTCTTCCCCTAGACAGACAGCCTCACAGTCCTGACTTCACATAAAAGAGTTCATTTCAGGTTCCACTAAATCCTTCCTGCTCGCTTCACCCTGATGGTGCTTTGTCTCCCACTAGAACCCTCAAGGCTAGCCCCAGAACTCAGTGGCTTTGTCTTTTGTGCACATAGTAGCTACTGAGCAATGGCTAACAAGGGAACAAGCCCTTTAGCAGCAATGTAGTCAGCATCTTGTCTTCTGTTTGCTGGGTGGGATTTGCGGAGTTTGGGTCAGAGCTGAATTGCTCAGGAGAAGAGAGAAGTGGAGAGGATACAGCTGTCACCTTCTCTGGCCTTCCCCTGTGGCAGGCAGCGCCCCCCCACCCCCGCCAAGGTAGATATGGCTGAAAGACATATGTCTGTCTTGTGTTGTATAAGACAGTACACACACTGAGTGATTCATAATGAATGGAAGTGTATTGGCTCATGGTTCTGTTGGCTAGAATTGCTAAGATCAAAGGGGCAGCATATGGCAAGGCCATCTAGTTGCTGCGTCCCATTATGGAAAGGCAAAGAGAGGGAAAGAGGAGAGGGAAGAGAGAGAGGGAGAACGTGCAAGAGGGGGCCAAATTTGTCCCTTTGTAAGAAACTCACTCTCTCAATAATGGCACTAATCCATTTTTCATGTGGGTGGTTTCCCTGTGAATCAAACACTTTCTAGCAGCCCCACAGTAGCCACACTGCCACATTGGGGATTTGTTTCCTAATACCTAGCCTTCAGGGGACACATTCCAAATTTAGCTGCCCAGTGATAGGCATGGCTATCACTGTCCAATAGCCATTCTCCTTTTTCCTAGGGAACAGATGCTAAGTTTATTCACAGCTGCATGATACCAGCTTAACCTGTCTAGTCCCCAGGGTCCCTTAAAGCTAGCAATGGCCTATGAATCTAATGTGGCCAATTAAGGTACAAATGGAAACCATTGGTAGAGCTTAAGAAAAAACTGTTAGAGAATGGACTCAATTTGTGCTCCTCTTCCTTCTTCCTGCCTGGAACTGGGACACCATGTCTAGAGAGTGGTCACTGAAGCATCTTGAAGCTTGATTAGAACTACACCCAGAGGATGGAAGAATACCAAGGTGCTGGAGCCTTGATCATGATGGCCCTGTACTGCCTGCCTCCAAATTTCTTGTGAGTAAGAAAAAAAAAATTCCCTGTTTGGTAAACCCACTATGGCATTGTCACATGCATCAGAATGCTGTCCTCTTTGATGTTGGCACCACCCAAGCAGCTGCTGGGCTGAGATGCTGAACATCCTGGAAAATCCCTGTGTCCCAGGTTAGGCCAGTTACCACAAAATCACTTCAGACAGCACCTCTCGAGGAACTGAGGCACTCCAGGGTTGCAGAGAACTACTAGATAATATCTGGATCATACACACACACACATGCACACACACGCACGTGCACACATGCACACGCACAAGTTTCTTAGCTTAGGCAATCCTGAACCCTGAGAAATTTCAGCACAAAAGAGGGTTCCTGAAGATGAGCAGGGAACCTCCTTTTACTGCCAAGAAAACTGTACAGTCTTTCTTTTGGCAGTACTGGGGTTTGAACTGACACTTGATAGGCAGGTACTTTACTGCTTGAGTCACACCTCCAGCCCTTTATGCTGTGGTTATAGAGATAGGGTCTCACTCCTTGCCCAGGCAGGGTTAAGATGACAGAAGTGCATCACCATGCCCAGCTTTATCCTGTTGAGATGGGGTCCTGAACTTTTTTTGCTCTGGGCTGGTCTGGAACTGCCTCTCTCCAGATCACCTCTGCCTCTCCAGTAGCTATGATGACAGGCAGCACCACCATTGCCTGGCTTGCACAGTCATTTTGAAGGGAGGTGGAGCTCCATGTGGGGAGGGAAAATCTAAAGTACTGACCTTGACATCCCCAGCATTCCCACCCTACAGCTCCTCTTTCCTGAGGACACCTGGGTCCTGTCATAACCAGGGTAGGAAGAGCAGTTCTGCTCCTCAGGATCCTGCAAACATTTCAGCCCATGTCACCAATGTTCAAAGGTGAGGCTTCTGTGTGGCTTATGTCAGAAGCAGATGAGGAGATTCCAAGATGGTGACTACAGGGAGGAAGCAGAAAGCATGCTTCCTAAAGTAAAATCTTGGAGAGATGCTGGAGATACACCTTACAGGAAAAACCACCAAGAAGAGGCAAAACCCCAACTCCTCCACACCCCCAGCCCATGCATAGCATCCCCACTCCACATTAAACGGAGAAACTAGGAGGGCTACCATGTCGCCAGATGCCAGCTTCTACTGGCTCAAGAAAAGCATACCACCAGATATCACCATTGTTATTAATACAAGCTAGAAAATACTTAATTGCACACAGTAGAGGGACAGTAACAATAGCAAGGGCAATGACAGGAAGACGGAAAAAACAGGGAAACCAGTTTCCCCCCAGCAATAAATTAGTACAGTAACCAGAGGGAAATAAAGAAAACAAATACTTAGATCCAGACTCCAACAAAACGAAGATAAACTATGCTAAAGAACCCAATGAAGCCCACAAGAGCAATCTGAAAGAAGAAATCCTTCAAGTAATCAATGGAAATTTTATAGAGATGATACTGGATATGGTCAACCAAAATGTACAGGAGACAC